GGGGGCGGTGGGGGCCTTGATGAAGACGATCTTGTAGTGCTTGCGCGCCTGGGTGGGGGCGTTGATGCGGGCGGGAGCGCGCACCTCGGGCTCCTCGGGGGCGACGTGGACGTACACGTGCTTGCTGATCAGGGGAGCCTGTCGCGACAGAAAAGTGGGAAAAGGGGAAGTCAGCGTCAGGATTCGAACTCACTGCGGTCTTACGGACGCTTCCTGGAGCGCGACAGCGCCGGCCAGCCCCAGCCGTCCGCACATGGCGTCTACTGAAAGTCTAATCACTCACCTGGCTCTGGTAGCCGCCGAAGGAGGAGCCGCCGTTGCTGTAGGAGCCACCGTTGGAGAAGGACGAACCCCCGAAGGACGAGCCGGAGCTGCCCGAGCTGAAGGCCTGCTGGGATCCTCCGAAGGACGAGCCGCTGAAACCGCTGCTGATTCCGCTGAAGCCGAGGCCGCTGCTGCCGAAGCTGCTGCTGCCGCCGCCGAGGCCACCGTGGCCGCCACCGTGGCCGCCACCGTGGCCGCCGCCGAGGCCGCCGGCGCTCAGGCCGAGGCCTGACGGGGCGCCGTAGCTGGAGGACGGCTGTGGCGCGGGGGCGGGCGCGTTGTAGGAGTAGCCGGCCTCGGGGCGGGCGTGCGCCAGGGCGGCCAGGGCGAGGATCTGCAACAGGAGGAGGAGGATGTCAGAGGATGCGCTACTTTGCGCCAAGGCGTGACCAAGGGCACGCAGGAAGAACAGACGCACAGGGATATGGCACTTTCACTTTCGCTGTAACCCCTCCCCCCTTCCCCCGGCCGGTGCGGGGCGGTGCGGGTCGTCGCCAACCAGTCGCATCTCTGCGCGGCATGTATCATTGCGCAGGTCCGCCGCGCTGCCGTGCGAGCTGGAGCCCGAGCTGCAAAGCCCTTCGCCGGCGCGTGTCCGCCTCGTATATTGGGTATTATAAGGGAAGATGTGTCGCGGGCAGCGGTGCCCCGGGAGAGAGCAGCCGTGTGTGTGTGTGTGTGAGTGCGTGCGCGCGCGCGCGGCGGTCATAACATGGTCTGGCATAACAACGAGATGTGTCGCAATCGCATGCCTTTTAAGTTATACAAAAGGGCAAGAAAAAAAGGAGGCATTGGTGCCTGCGTCCAGTGCCGCGCGCGCACACACACACGCGCTCGCGGCTCTCACACACGAGCAGGCTACTCTAGGCGATCCTGCCGCTGCTGCTGCTGCTGCTGGACACGATGGGGGTATGAATCAGACCGACAATAAAATAGTCCGGTAATAATACGCTTCTGCCTCGCTCGCCGTCCGCCGCCGAGGAGCCTACTGGAATAGAGGGGGAGCAGGGGGTCCGCATGTTTAACCTCTTAACTGTGCCATGACCCAGTCGCGTTCATTGCGCAAAAAGATTATCGACAATTACTCCCCATTCCCCCTGCCTCCCCCTGCTGCCGCCGAGTGATCACCGCCGACACGCGTCGATCCTGTCAACGAGCCGATCGAGACCTGATCGCTCTACGCGGCGCCGGTCGCGACGAGAATCCGCAATGCAGCCCGGGCGGCGGGCGGGCGGGCGGTAGGCAGCCGGGCCCCCGCGGCGCGCAGCCGAGTGCGGCGGGTCTGCCTACGCGGGCTGGTCCCTCCCGGCGGCCCCTCCCAGGGCTAAACGCCGGCTCAGTGGGCCATTCAACTGCCAAACTAAAGAGCCAATCCGGCCGCAGAAGAAGGAGGGAGGGAGGCTATTATGTGAGGGTTGCGCAACGCAATAATGTACGGGGCCCCCGGTCGTCGTCGTTCGGGGAGGAGAAAAGAAATAATAAGCGAGAGATGGGCCTTCCGCCGCTCGCGCCTCATCCGTTTTGTTGAGCGGTTTTCTCTCTAAAACGGAAACCATATTTCACGGATCCGAAAGTGGTCCCCGTCGCTGCCGGGTGGGTAAGGGACCGACGCGAGTGTTTACGACGGCAAATTAACGAGCGGGATGGAGAGTCGCGGAAAGGGTGGTGGTGGGGGTAGAGGGTGCCGCTGGTGCGGCAGGTCCCCAAGGCCGCCGCCCCCTCCCCTATCGTAATTACCGACACTCTCTTGCGCGACTGTACCGAGGCGCGAGCACGTAAGGATGACGGGAGGTCAAGGGGCCGCCCTCCCTCTGCCCGCCGCGACTAACAGCCGCTCGCACTAATAAAACCGCCGGCGCCGCCTTGTCTACAACGCGTTACCTTTGATCGGAACATCAAGCGTTTAAGTTTTACCGCCCACCAACCTCTCCCCCTCGTGCGCTTTTCACGTTTGTTTTCTAAGAAAAATCTGTTCATTTTCTGGAATTTGTTGGTTGACCCCAGGACAGTTTCTCAACGGATTGCCCCGGAGGAGTGCGATGCCCCCGGGTGAGATGGCGCCCCGCCCCGCCCCGCCCCGCCCCATCCCACGAGGCTGCGCCGCAGGGGCAGCACAAGGCCGTGTGAGCGCACCGCTGCCGGGCGCTGCACCTGCACCCCCCGCCGCCCGCGCCCCAGCCCAAGCTACTAGTAACTACTAATGGCTTCATTGCCGACGGATCTGACTGGGGGGTGAAAAACGGCCGAGGAGGTCGGGTGAGTACACGAGAGGAATTATCGAGTGGGTTCAGAAACAACAAGATTATTGTAAACCGAATCAGTACTAGAGGGGATTTTTCATATATCATACTGAACTGTCAATAAGGTTTTCTGATAAAATGTAGTAGATATGAGATTTGATTTACCTAATTTAACAAAAAAATAAAGCAACGGCTTTGCCCTGGTAAGAACTTCCCACGTTCTTCAACCCGTAGGCTGAGCTTGGGAGACGGAGGACTCTGGGGGACTTGATGAAGCTGTCACCTGTTCCTCTTCGTTATCCAATCACGTGTCAAGGCGACAAGCGACCAGTTCCGTTGGAGAATAGAACACTGTAGAGACTTCGAGGAGACGAGGGAAGGAGAGGGAACGAGTGGGGAGGCGGGCGCTTTTCCCAGGACCTGTCACCGCAGACGAGGAAGCTACTTTCAATACGAAGACCTCGCCTGGTCGACCGGGACCGAACGGACTACCCGAGCCTTACATTTTGTATTGGATTATTGAACGTTAGCTTTGGCCCAGCACCTGGCGTCCTGCGCGGAGAGGAGCCCCCGTCAGGTGCCGGCACTTTCGATGACAAACGGTATATCAACTGACGGAACCATCGGGGAAAAAAAGGAATAGTCGTAGAGACTATTTTTTTTTGTTAATTTCCTGTCAATATAATTTCCTGTAAATATGCTGTGGTAACTAACAGTTTGTCATCAGAGCCATAAGAGTTGCCCAAACGAAGCTTTTCGGTGCGAAAGCCTACCCGTTTTTTCTGTTTAAGAAAAAACTTAAGTTGGCTTATGAAGCGGCACACTTTGTTGTGGCAATATCTTTCGCCTCTGAGAACTTCGTAATGATGTTTGTTAGTTACGACACCGAATTTTCGATTGGTTGCTACGCACTCAACTTGATTTTAGTTTCTGGCGACTTATTCCTTTCTTTTGTGATGCCATTGGCGGGGACGGCACTTCGCCGCATTTCGCACCCCTTTTTCGACGGACTAATGTTCCCTCCGTATGGGACGCAAACCACTCCAGAGCAGTCGTACTCTGTCGTCTTCGCGGCTGCACTCGGTTGACGATGCTTCCCCGAACTGTCTGGAGGACTCAGCCACCCCGCTGGGGGGCGCACATCTAAACTCTGTCCTCGCACTGAAAGCACACGGCTGGGCTGGCGGGGCGGGCGGCGGGCGGTGGGCGGGCGTTGCGTATCCACACTGATGCACTAGTAATCCAATGGCGGGCTTGATGCACTGGGTCACACTCGTACTCACCAGGAACGGTTTCATGGCTAGCGTGTGTTGGTGGTGCTTGTGGAGCGACTAAGTGAGCGACTGCCGGCCTGCTGGCCGCGTCTCCCTTTTAAAGCAAAAGTCTTTGGTGTACGGGGCGGGGCGCCGAGGGGTAGGGCGGGGCGGGGCGCGGTGGGACCGCGGGGGACCCGAAACAGACCCCACATGGGGGGCACGGCGGACCTCCCCAGCCAGCCCTCAGAGAAGGAGGGGACCGACGATGCCGACGATACACACCACGCCACGCCCCGCTCCGTGCTGCCTCATCCCACCCCGCCCTGCCCCACCCTACCCCGCCCCGCCCCGCCCTGCCCCGCCTCGCCCCGCCCCTGCGGCCGGCTCCATTATGCAAGCGGGGATGCGGCCAGTTTCAGGTTCAGGAGCTCGGTGCCGGTAGGCCTCTGTCGGCGCGGGCCGGACCCCGAAAGGGGCAGAGCAGGGGAGGGGCCGGTGCAGTGGGTCATACAGTGCGTGGGGCGCGGCGGGGCGCGGCGGGGCGGGGCGCGGCGGGGGAGTGATATGGTCACTTTCGTCGGGGAGGGGTGACGCCTGGCCGCCCTGCTCGGTCCGCCAGGGTCCCGCCGAGCCTCCTCATTGGTTCGTGCACAGTTTTCGGTGGTCCTGTGGCGGGGCGGGGGCGGGGCGGGGAGCGGGGCTGCCGGGCCGTGACGCCGGCCGGCGAGCGGGCGCTCACAGTGGCGCGGTGTGGCACGGAGGCTGCGGACAGGCCGTCGTGGAGGTCTTTGTCCAGCAGGGCCGGAGGCGCACGGCGCGGGGCGGATCTATAGTCATAGTTCGATCCTAGAGAACTAGTTTTTACTTCGATTTTTCTAAATATTGCGCTTATTCTCGGCTCAATTTTTCCGTTGAGATGCCAGATTATTTTCTGAAGAACAACTTTCTTAGGATAATCTCAATGTCGAGATTTTGGAATCAAATATCACAGTTCTTGGGGTGAGAGATTATCCGTGTTTTTCTGGTCGACCTACATGAAGAATGTTCATGTTGTTTCCACTAGGGTTCCAGCCGTCTTATCACACCTCGCGTTTGCCTAGTGATCTCGTGAATGAAATGATGTCGGTGAAGAACAGTAGTGTCTTTACGTAATTACCACGATTATAATTATTGTGTGTTACACAGGTCGCGTTTGGCTAGATAGGTACTGTTGATGACTTTTCAACAGGTTGAGTCACCGACAGACGCGGGGTGGCAAGTGACTATTAAGATTTGAATATCAAGTTAGTGTAACGGCTAGTGAAACAAAGTAAAAAGCAGCTCGCCGCGTAACGTAACGTGTGGAGTGGGGTGCCCTTTGGTGGCCGCCGCTCTGGGATGTTCTTCACACCGAGGCGTCGCAGCGGCGCGGCAGCGACCCGCGACCCTTTTAGTCGTAGCGGTAGCCAAAAAAAAGTGGCAAAACATACAAAAAGCGTGATTTTTGGTGTAGGGGTCCTTTAGACCCTAACGTTCGCTTTGACCCGCAGCACACTCATTTTGGACCCATAGGGTCCGAAATTTTAACGCATTTGTTCAATATTTGATCAAAAATAACGAAAATTTCAAAATGGTCGTACAGAGACCATCTCAGGAATGTTTCCGGAGGATTTTGACGTGATAAAGCGAATAAACATAACGCCAAGTCCGTACGACCTCGTGTTTAGGCCCCAGAGGCCGCCATTTTGGAAAAAGGGGCGTAACTGGAGCGAGATGACTTTCGACCCCAATGTACCGTGTTGGGTGTCGTTTCCGC